ACTTAAGATCCTTACAAGGCTTCACCGATGATTTCAGTGATTCTTGTAACTTGTTGGGTGGTGCTAAATCCAAATTGACGTTCCTTAATAATATTATTGTCTTCAGCGAATTTAGTGAGCCTTCATATTATAACTCAGAATGCACAAAATTTATATCATTTAAAGAATTATCTAATCGTTGCTACATGTTCTATTCAAATACTATAATAAAGCTAAAACGATGTATAAAAGAAATTAAGCAAACAAAATATAAAAGAAACAGTTTTTCCCAGACGATTGAGTATTTCTCATTCAATTAATTCAGTTCTCACTTCGCGACAAGGCAAAAATACATAAAATCAAAAAATATCTGTATTAAAAATTACGAAGTAAATCTTAAACACTTATTTCCACGAAAAAATTCCAGAAAGGATTAAGCATGATTTAATTCACAATAATAAATGAAGGCGTTATCTTTGTTGTTGCGAAGCTAAATTTCTCTAGATTGGCAACAAATCCACTATTCTGCTGTTTCAAATGTAAACAAGCAATGCCCGCCATCAAAAAATTTATTAGGCTTAGCGATACTTAAACAACTTTAAAATTGTTGATAATTCTAAAAATATTGCGGTAAAAGTTTACAATTGGGTGCCCCTTGTTTCTTGGCGATTCTTTTTTGACGCCAAAATCGGCGCCAGGAAAGCACAATTTCAAGATGGCCGCTACACAAAACCAAAATAAGAAGTTAAAAAATTGCACAAGCTCTGTATCCATGTACATATCGATCTGTTTTCAATTAAACAAAAACAATCCTAGAATTGCACAAACTAGGCCTTGCACACTGCCTTTAATTTGTCCATGTACACATCAATCTATTTTCATTTAAATAAAATCAGGAAAATTAAACCGATTGCAACCAAAATACGAGGTGCACATTTACATATTAAAGCAGTCCTATACACAAAATTTCAACGTTCTGAGGCTACTCGTTTTTGAGTTATGCGAGATACGTACGTACGTACGTAGGCACAGACGCCACGAAAAATTCTCTTCAGAATTCAATTTAAAGCAGTTTTATAATTTTTTTGGAGGAAAGGAGTCTTTTATTCTGTCCTTACGTACAGATGTCACGCAAAAACATAGTTAAATTGCATTCGATAGAGGTCAAAATGGATATTTTCGTTTTGACTTTTCGCCATTACAATACTTCCTTTCTATTACTTTGTACAAGGAAGTAAAAACCATGGCATGATGAGTGAGCTGCGCAGCCTGATAAACTTTTATGAAAAAACACATTAAGTATATCATCATAAACCTATTGCTATTTCATTCACTTTCAATTTTCTAGGGGTTTTTTTAAGTGTTTTAGTGGAGTTTTTTAAACATTTTTTCTGTCAGAGTCTTTGGAATTTAACTTGAGTTTTTGGATGGATCAAGTTGATTTTTCTTTTGTATATGAAGATCCCATTCTGTTATGATAAATGTACACATTTATATGATCTGCAAACCAGAATTCCTTTTAATGCATCATCTCAGTCATCATTGCATATTCTGATGTTTGTATAGCATTGGTGTAAGCACTAATCTTATTATTTCTGTGTCAAGTTAGAAAAAGAATTAATATTCAAAATGTTTGAAAATATGTGATTTTTCCAGTTAAAAAAAAAGTCTTAACTTTCATCATAGGGAAACGAAACAGTTCCCTTCCATTATTACAGATTAAATTGATCTGTTTTCCGAAATAAATATGATGTGCTTATTTAGATTTTTTATAAATTGCTATTTTAATTATATGTGCATTCAAAAATGTATGTTTGTTTTAGGGGCGTGAAACAATGTGTAAAGTTTACAAAAAATGGAATCTAATTTTGAGGAAATATATGTGAATTTATATTTGATACTCATTTATATATTATAAAATATTCAAATACCAAAATAATTATATTATTGAAATACAGCGAAACATCCATGAGATGATTATTCATGGTTCCATTAGAATTTGGTCTCCTTAGCAAGTAAGAGAATGCTAAAATATGTTCAATACGGATGTTTATTTTACGTCTGGATATATAGTAATATGAAATAGAGAAAATCTTCATTAATGCAGTACAAAATCCGTAATCCGAACTCGTCAGGACTTCGGCGATTCCGGATTAGGGGTTTTTCCGAATTATAGATCATCAATTTAAATCTGTTGAGATGGCATGCAGAAATTATACAATTAAAAATATGAAACCGTAATTTATGAAATAAAGAGCAATTATGATCTAAAGGGTATCAAATTTTACACACAAAAAAAGCTTAATATTTATTTGTTTACTTTATTAAACATTTCTTTCAACGCGCGCATGCGTAAAACATACATTACGCATAGTCGAAATTAGAAATTGCAACCAGAAACTATTTGATGTATTCGTGATATTTATAATGACGAGGAAATTGATTTAAATCATATCAAAGACGAAGTACATTGAGATGAAATGCTACACTTAGTAAGAAATTATAAGCCGAATAAAAAAAAAAAAAAAGAAAAAAACATCTGCCCTAAAGATGAGGATAGATGATGAAGATTAACTTCCAGTTCATTGCGCGCCGCGACGTCCCCCCCCCCAGAGCAGCGTGGAATTGATAAACAGATTTCGGAATGGTTCGAGAAACAAATCATTAAGCCAAGCTGTTCTGATTATGCAAGCTAAATAGAAAAAAATGCGGTTCATTTTAGACTATGTCTGGACTTAAACGATACTTAAAACCTGGTGAATCCCTTTCCGAATATTTAATTGCCATGCGTGAAATAGCCAGTCGCGGTTCTGTTGATGATTCATTAATTCTTGATTATGTAATCAATGGGATACCCGATCAGAATAGTAACAAAATTATTTTGTATGGATGTAAAACTATTTCTGATTCAAAGAGAAATTAAAAATATATGAGAAAATCGGCGTTCCAGATACGAAGAATAAGGGTTATTCAAGTACTAACACACAAAATAAAGCACGCGCTATGAATTGACTTATTCTATTTCCCGTCGATAGCTATATATCACAATAAAATAACACCACACAGATTACAGAAAATAACACACTCAAACTTTCAATACATTTATTTTCCATAGCGACTCTCTGGCGCTAAGTTTCACCTTACAGCGTAACATATGAATCGTAACTTCGAATATACAACAAAAAATCAAGTTTCTCACAGAATATATTTCAGCGCCATTTCTGGTGGCGCATGCGCTATTAGCCAAGATTCTGCTCTGTCGCCAATTGTTTCTTAGTTAATACAAAACACTCCCTGCGTTGAAATTAACAATTTCAAAACTATTATTACAATAAATGTAAATATAAAGGCACTACAATAAAATTACTTCACAATAACAAATCACAATATTGAAGAATATACATTCAAATCATTACAACAAATACCTGTTTATAATAGAGATAAACAATCATTCTACAGGAAGTATACATATATCTCGAACATTTCGTTTTAGCAAATGCTGATTAGACAATCTTACAGTTACTACTCTTATTTTGTTATCCCTACCATGAAAAACCTCAACTATTCTCCCCACCAACCATTTAGTTGAAGGCAAATTTTCATCTTTTATTAATACAAGAGTTCTCATCTGAACATCTTCCTTTAAAAATTTCCACTTGTGACGCTCTTGTAAATAATTAAGATAATCACGTTTCCATAATTTCCAAATGGAACAATAGAACAATCGTCCAACAATAGAACAATTTTGTACAATAGAACAATCGTCCGTCCACTCTAATTAGTCCTATGCTATCAAGAAACACATTCAGTGATGCTAATTTACTTTTGAGGTTTACACACTTACCTCTTTTTAATTGGTTTATTTCTTCTCGAAACTCACTTTTTTGGGCCTCTAATAAAGTATACACCTCAGCAGCCTTTATCTCTTCTAAAGTAAGTACTCCATGCCTCCTTACGTGGGGGTTCTTAAGATTATGATTAAACCTGAAAATGAAACTTACAATAAGAATAAGTTTAGTAAAATAATAAAAAAAATTAAGAATATCATTAAAGAGGTCTATTTCATTACATGTAATTAAAACTAAGTTAGAATCGTTATGCAGTTCATTGTCCTTTTTAAGTTCATTTGGACACACTTCTTCAGCAACCTCAAGTGGTAAGTCCTGATGAGGAGTCTCTGAGCATGTTGGAAAGTCACAGCATGACCACCATTTGGAACAGTTCACAAGAAAGTCAGTTTGAACACCACGCGTCATAAGATCTGCTGGGTTCTCTTTTGTTGAACAATAGAACCACTCTGTCGGCTGTGTTAACTTCCTAATCTCGTTAACTCTGTTGACCATGAAAGATTTCCATTTGGTTCTGGTACCTTTAATCCAGCATAGCAATATTTTGGCATCAGTCCAATAAAATATTCTCGAGGATTTCTTTTGATCGAGCAATTTTTTCACTCCAGAACCTAAACGCGCTGCTAGTAATGCACCAAGTAATTCAAGACGAGGTAACGTAATTCTTTTCACAGGTGCAACACGACATTTTGATGCAACGAAACTCACAGAAATTTCTTCTTGCTTACGCAGTTTTACGTAGACAACAGTACCGTACGCCGTCTGACTGGCATCTGAAAAGCAATGGATCTCTATGGAATCGGCTTCGGGTTTCAAAATGAATCTTGAAACTGCAATTTTACTTAGATGATGACACTCACAGTACCACTTTGCCCACTCTTGACAGATATCTGTAGGCAGTTCATCAACCCATGTCAATTTTCGAACCCAAAGTTCTTATAAAAAAATTATCGATAACAGTAAATGGAGTCATTAACCCAAAGGAATCAAAAATCTTCCCTGCAGTTTTCAAGATGAATCGTTTCGTATTACGCTTATTCTTAGAAATTCCATCAAATTGTCTGTGTCTATACTCAGACTGTCCTCATTAATATCCCACAACATTCCCAAGATCTTAAGTGTCTCGTTTGAGTCATTGATTTTATGTGGATGGATCTCGAACTCTTCTTCTTCTCATTTTCCATTCAGCTCAGGATCATTGGATACCAATTTATGCAAGTTCATATTTGCTTCACTCATAATTTGTTTAGCTTTACGCCATAAGCTTAGAGCCTCATCTATACTGTCCTGTCCAGTAATAAAATAGTCAACATAAACACAAGAATTCAATATTTCAAATACATCTGGCTGCTCATCTCGATATTTTCTAATGTGTTCTTTAATTGTTGCAGCTAACAAAAACGGGCTTGATTTAATCCCAAAATTTACGCGCTTGAATCTATATGTCGCTAGTTTTAGATCATTTAATTGTGCATTTTCCACAAACAGGAAGCGCACTGCGTCTTGAACCTTTTCTGCCAAAGCAATCTGCAAAAATACTTTTTCTACATCTGCTGAAATTGCAACTTTATTTAATCGGAAATTAATTAGCAGATGGAACATGTTAGGATTCAAATTTGTTCCTGTCCATAGATCAGGGGTGTTTGTGCTCCGGGGATTTTGAATTTCGATACCCGGAAATTCCGGGGATCGTCGTTCAAAAGGAAGGAAGTATAATAAAAAAAATATTTATTTTGATCTGGGGTAATTTTGTTGCTTTGAAAGCAAAAACGCAAGGTCAGTGTGTGTGGTGAAAACTTTTCCTTTCTTTCTCCAAAGGCAGTGATAATGCGTGAAAAGGGGGAAAATACTTCGTTTTTGTTCTTTCCTTATTGCGAGTTATGACTCATTCCCCCGGTTCTCGGACATTCTCTTCTGGATTCTTTTCGGCAAGTAGGGGCGGCAGAAAAAAAAGGGAGATACTTCGTTCGACCAGATGTGCGATCACGTGACTCTGGGTTCAAAGGTCTTATCTCTCCTGGCGTGGCGCCAATAAGTAGAGAAGGGGGATTTTTCGCCGTATTAGCTGTTTGTCATTGATCGCTTCTCAGCTTTTTTTTCTCCGCTATGTAAAATTTTCGTTTCATTTATTGATGCACGTGTAAATTTTTCGTTTCGTTTATTGAAATATTTTTTTATTTATGTACGCAAGAGAATTTCACTATGAAATTTCTCGATATAAATAGTGATATTATACAATTAGAAGAAGGTGTTCGGAATGCATTTAGGTGGAATTGGATTGAACGGAGAGATGGTAATGGGGATATCATCGGCACATGGTGCAAGAAAATAAATGTTGCTGGACAAGCATTTTTGTTTTTTGTAATCACTGCTGAAGTATGGTGGGGAAGGATTCAAGGCTTTCACAAATCATTCTAAAACTGTGACGCACATAAAATATTCAAAGTGCATTAGACATTCAATGACTTTAAGTAATTATGCTAATTCAAAAAAATACTGATGACTTACTGGAGACTGATGCTCGCCATTGGATATAGTGACAAAAAGCACTCCAAGAAGTATTAATAACTTCGTTTATCGCCGAGAATTCTCTTTCTTTCAATGTAGCTCCCAATTTAATTGAACTCTGCAAACAGTTGAGCCGCGATCAGACGGCACTAAACACTCGTTGGAAATGTCCAGGACTACTGCATGTTATAAGATGAAATATGGGCTCGCAAGAACTATTAGGAAAATATCATTAAAACTTTAAAGGAGACTCCATTTTCTCTAAATTTGGATGAAAGTACTAGCAATGCTCAAGAAAGTATACTGGCAATATTGGTGCAGTTTTATGACAACAATCAAAATGAAGTTGTAGTTTATCATTTTGCATCTCTAAAGATGGAATCTTGCAATTCAGAAGCTGTTTTTAAAGCAGTTGTTAATACTATTGAAGATAATAATATTCCATGGGCAAACTTAATTAGTGTATTAATGGACTCCTGTAACACCATGCGTGGAAAAAAACCAGACTACGATCAAACAAAGCACCCCACTTATTAGATATTGATAGTGACACATGTCACACAGCTAATAACTGTGCAAAAAAATTTGCTTCATGTTTTGATAGATACTTAGAAGATTTGTTTGATGACATCTATTTTGATATGAAAAGCTGCAGTAAAAGAGAAAATTTTTTTCAAAATCTGTGATTCCCTTGCCATTAAAAAACTTAAGCCCTTGAAGAGACCAGACCATAGGCGGGTGTACATTTTATGTGTTTTAGAAAAAATCAAAGATCTGTGGGATGCTCTTATTGCATTTTATTTTCACTACTTGGATAAAACTGTTAAAGGGGATTATTTTTCTTATGTTGAAACTGTATACAATAAAAGAAATATTTCTGCACTCAGAAAAAAATTGTTGAAGGGGTATTCTTGTTTGCATTCCCAACAACTCACAAAGGATGCTTTAGCTCGGAAAAAAAGAATACTAAATGGGTTATTTGTTATGCAAAACAAAACTTTATTGCATATGGCATTATATTCAGCAGTATTACCAGAGTTCAACACATATATTAAATTATTTGAAACAAAAAAAAACAATGCTTCATTTAATACATTCCAGTATTTATGAATTGCTGGCAAAAGTTTTCTCTTTTTTTATGAAGCCAGAAAATATAGAGTGCACATCCTATAATGATTTATTAAAGGTTGATGTCACAAATCCAGAATTCCATCTACCTAGCAAAGTAATATTTACTGGTGCAGAAGCTTCCACTCTTCTGAAGAAATTATCAAAAAATCATCCAATAGCAAAAGAATTCCAAATTTCTCTGATGAAAGCTTATACAGCACAGCATATGAAACAGAAATTACCCCTTAAAAATTCATATCTTATTAGTTTTACCAGCATTAGATCCAGAGCTAAGAGGTAAAACCAGTACAAATTAGCTTTTGAAAAATTATATTATCATCTTTTATGTCCCATATTTTTAGTGATAACGAAAAGTCAAAAGTAGAAGCTGAAATAAGGTTATACCAGAGTGATATTGATATCACCAAAGAAATGCTCTACCATCTGATGAAAGTGGAAATCAAGTCAAGTGTACAATTGATAAATATTGGTCTAAAGTTTTTAATTTAAAAGATGATTTCACAAATGATAATAAGTATCCTACATGGCTAAATTAGCCTGCCTTAGCTGCTTCCATGGCCCATTAGTGGAAAAGTGCATTCAACTTATGGATACACTTGTCACTGACTATAGAACCTCTCTTAAGATTGATTTCTTAGATGCAGTGCAGACTATTAATATGATTTAATGGCTTCTAAAGAAACCTCATGTGAAAAATATGGCTAAAAAAATCCAAGACTGATCCAATTCACAAGATCTCTTATGAATATGAAACAGAAGTTGGAAAACATATCAAGAGGACTTAAAAACATGTATTTCAGATGAATCACCTATAAAAGTCTCTGAAAAACCTTCTACATTAGCAGAAAAGCAAATTGCTTCTACTCTGCATGTGCAGTTCTCGAGAAAATTTCTTCAAATGTAAATGAGGAAAATAAAAGTCAACCTTCCTGCAATTATGAAGTTCACCACAAAAAAAGACAAGCCCACAAAACATCAGAAAATAAAAAGCAAGCAGAAATTAGATAATTCTTTTGAAAGAATTAATTCAGGTAAATTAAATATTTACATAAAATGTTAGTAGTTCATATGTTTGAAAATTTATGGTTATTAATTTTGCAAAAAAAGTAATTCATTGAACTTTTATAATTAGGTCATTCAATGCTTCATAATTGTAATTTTTCATTTCTCTACCCCCTTCTCGAAACTCCAAAATGTCGGTAGTAAGTCCGTAAAAGTTTCAGGGGATTTTTTGGGGTCCCACAAACACCCCTGTTTGAAATTAGATCAATTTCTTTACTTATTTAATATTTAATAACTTCGGACGAATGGTAATATATTTAGCAGAGAAAACCTTTTTAATTAACAACGAACTATTTTATTTAGCATTCTAAACATATCAAAAAGAATAACATCCCATTCGTTATCACGCTCAAAGTAATATGTAACAAACATCACTGTTGCCACAAAAAATCTACATTATAATGAACATATTAAATTATTGTGTATTAATGGAGTTCGTGCACGTTCCTGAACATTCCTCCACCTTGCAATTTGAGGAATTGCAACATATTCTCTACTCAGTTCATCAGTTTCTAGTTCTGATTCTTCAGAGAGAGGCCCATTTTATCCGGCTCTTTTAAGCCAATCCGGCCACTTCCACCATATGCTTTGTAGCAACATTCTGGCATCGCACCTTCTAGAGGGAAGATCAGCTGGATTGCTTGAGTTTTGTACATAATGCCAGTCGTCCGGATTTGTGCTCTCTTTATTTCAGCTACATGATTATTTGTTCACCAAAAACTCCAGTGGGAGCTTTTTTTGATCCATGTCAGAACTTCAGACGAGTCCACTCCAAAGGTACACTTGGCACTTTGTCAATTTAAGAACGTCAGTGACTTGACGATACAGCCGTGTAGCTATAATGCTCCAAGCAACTCTAATCTAGGAATAGTTACTTCTTTGGCAGGCGCTACTCTTGATTTACATAATACCAATTGTATCAAAAGTTTGGAAGAATTTCTATTAAATTCGGCCCCTTTTCGAGGCAAGCATTCAAGGAATTCCCATTTTCATCCTTCAATGATGCACCGAATACAGGTCGCACTTTCGTAGTCAGACTGGAATCCTTGATTACTGCTTGATGAGATGAATAGTGACCAGTATCACTATTATTCGGAGCTATTTCAATTATACCTTCCTTGTGCCAGTTTTTAATAATACCATCATATTCATCGAAAAATTCCATCTTTTGCAGTCTTCGTGTATTGGCGAAAAGCCTTTTTCCGCTTTATCTTTATTATCTTCAAGAATCCGATGACTATCCTTCCAAGGCAAACAGACTTCATACCTATTGCCCTCGATTACTTTAATGTTCTCTAGGAAAAATCTGATCGTTTCATTGTCTAAATTCTCCTTAGTCTTTCACTTCCGCCGGATCTTTTATGCCATTGTCTCTTCTAAATTCCATAGTTCTGTGAGATCCAAATAACAAAGTCCGACGGTACCAAGCAAGGTATTATGACTTTGCACTGGGCCTTGTACGGTCCAACCCAATTTTTTTTCAATATCAATAAGGTTTTTGTCAATTGGAATGATATTATTCGTCATCAACTGTCCGGAATAGTCGGCTCTATTAACAATCCGATATCTGGTATATCTCTTCCAGAATCACTGATTTTGATTTTATGTTCTCGAAGTGAGGAACATATATGTTTGAGTTTCACTCTAGGAATGTATCCACAAATTTTCTTTATCTAAAACCGATAATTCGTACTTGAATTATTTTCTGTTCCTTGTATTCGATATCAAAAATACCATGGACCTGAGATTCAGTTTCAAACTCCACCAAACAAATTGTGGCTCAAAGTCTTGATCAAATGGGACTAAATCTAGTCTCTTTATTATGTCTTTCCGTAAGTAAGATCTTTGTGACCCACTGTCAAAAAGAGTTCTCACAAGCTCCTTTTTTCCATTATGGACAA